AAAAAGTTTTTATTTTTTGTTTTCTTTTTTAGATTGTAGTTTGTTTAATTTCTTTCTGTAAGACCCTTTTTATCCTTTTCTAAGGATTTTATGCGTCTAATAAAAAAATACAAAAATATTGTAGTCACGGTTACTAACCGTGTTGTCGTCTTATTCAGCGCTTATCACCTTTGTCTAGACCTTTCGCCCGAAGTCTTGTAATCACCCAGGGTGAAGGCGTATGATTACATGCCAGACTCTCCAATCAACGACATTACTAATGTAACAGGCCACGCAGGTTATGACTCGCAGACAAAACAATAATATAAGAATAAGTGACCGGGTGACGCACGTAATTACGTCACACCATGGCTCGTTTAAAATTGATGGTCATTGGCTTAATCATAAGTAGTTTAACCAATTATATCAATCACAACTAGCGTGGACGTCCAAAGCATTAGTATTAATTTAGAACTAGGTTACCCCACCCGGCCTCTTTGTAGCGACCAAGGGCGGATGTAGTAGTAGTTCGGAAACTTGATGTTCTATTAAATACATAATGGTGAGGATTTTCAGTAAGTGTCGAGGCAAGCCATTCCTTACTCTAGCTGATCATGGACGTACTAGAGAGCTAGAGTACGTCCATGAGCTGATACGCACATCAGTGAGCGGGGCAGTTACGTCACCCCATGGAGGTAGAAAAGACCATGGTCACCCACATTCTCTCAACAATGGCCAGTCCGACACTATTTCGTGAGTCGGAAGTAACGCCCACCCGAGGGCGCAACACGGTGTTGACAGGACTCTCTGAACATGGTACAGTAGCCATATTATTCATTATGACATCGGTAGATATATAGTTTTTCCCTTGCCGGGTTGTTACAATGTGTTACTTTGCGTTGGCGATTACACTGGTAGCAATGACCAACAACAAACACTCCGTTCAAGTTGACAGCCATCAGGGAAATCAAGCAAAACAAGGTTGATTAGACTCCAAAAAGAAATCTGAAATCTACACTTTGTTTGCTTTTACATGTACATGCTTTCTATTTTAAAACAGCCCCATGAAAGGAACGAAAATATTTACCAACCAACTTTGAACACGAGCTTCTGTGTTTGTCAGGTATATGGTCAGGAAAACAAGGGAAGTGGCCAAGTCGGGGTAAATGATACACTGTTCGGCCCTGTGGCGTGTTTGGGCGAGTGATTATCAGAACAGAATACAGAGCCAATCAAACATTGCTGCGAGAAGTACAGCAAAAGGACGGCGGGAAGGGAGCATTAGTTACACGGTGTCGGATTTCAGATAGCAGCGATATATTAGGCTGGTACTTTTGTTCGAAGTCACACCATGTGACTACTGCCCTGAAACCGGCCGTGGTGCAGAATTCGTGTACATTAATTAACAAGAACTATTGAAACCCTAGACAATTTATACAATTTTGACGTTAATCAACAAATCTTATTATCACGATGAATTATAATTTCTCAAATTATATATACATGTATATATATATATATATATATATATATATATATAATTTGGGGAATACAAAGAAAAGTCGCTGTTGTTGAAAAAGTTATATGTTCCATAGTTGGTGTGAGATGTTCCATAATTAACAAAATTGTTGCGGATCCAATAATATGTTTTAGTTTCTTTTCTTGTCAAAATGCTTTTCTAACTTATAATTAAATTTACAACGTGGGGACTACTAGTGAGAAGTTACATAATGGTACTGGTATATAAACAGAGTGAACGGGTCAACGAATTTGATATACTAGTATATTGACGCGTAGAAATTGTAATGATTATATTGTCACGATTTTTTTTTTTTATTTCTTGGCAATGTTTTAAAAGTTGTAATGTTTTATTATTTTTATTTTCTTCTTTTGTTTTATTGTAGGCTTATATACAATTCTAAAATGCAATGTTCATTGTGTATTCCTATTTTCTATTTATTATTATGCATTAAAATGGTTGATGAGTATTACGGAAATGTCGCCTTCGTTTCCATGAGTCACGGTTACTTTTTAGTAACCGTGCATGAGTCGAGTCATGGCGTAATTAACCTTCAAGCTTTAGAACAGTCTGCCAAATCACGGGGCACCGCCCTCAAACTCAATATTAATTCACAAGATAAACAAAAGAAAATTTGTGAATTTAATACATGCGTTTATAGTGGCGAACACAACACAGTGCACGAGAGATTCATACACACCCGGTGGCACGTGAGTCTGTAAGAGAATCTGGATTTTGCGCCCAGTCAGTACTTCCATTTACAAATCGTATGGTAATTATCTTTCATCGTGACAGTGACAACTCCCGTGTTTTTAAACACATCTTTAATCATTTGGGGAGGGGTACAACTCCTTAAAACTGGACGTGCTGACATTGTAATGTGTAAGGAAATGATTTCCATCGCAAACACTCCAAGCAACTCGTTGTGTTGACGAGCCCGTATCACATAATTTGAAGACAGAATATGGATACGTTTCCGTATTCAAATCGTAATTCGATGAAAACAACGTGGACGTAGTACCTTTTTGTGGTGATACATGTAATTACACCAACATGTTCAGTCTCATCAACTGTCAAAATATTTTCAAAAATTAAATTACGCCCTACTGTGGCGCTGAATTTGGAATGAATGCAATGGTATTTAGAGACCAACATTGTTTTCCCTCATCCGTAGCCGTCTCCAAGCAGGCTGTTGCCAGGGCGAAGAACCGATGAAAAAAACGAATAAATGCCACGTTTGTTTTAATGAACAGAGAACACAAGAAAACAAGATTGTGTTGCAGAAAAAAAGGAAATTAAATAGGTACGGAGAGCTTAGTAGGAAATCACACCGGTTTCAACTTTCCCGCTAATGAGACAGCCCAATCCATCAATGTGTTTGTCTATGTGGCAGCTACTGGTATTGAGCTGCCATTATTTAAGATTTTTCAAACCACTCTTAGTCAAATTTACTCATTAATCACAAGGTCTTGATGTACGGGAAAACACCAGGAAAAGAGGGAATGTACGTTTACCTTTACAGACATGTTCTTCGCAGATTAGATCGAACTCGGCATCACAAGGAAGCGTGGTGTTATCGCAGTACTGCTCTGCTTGGCCAGCGCAAACGACGCAGCAATCGCAACCGTCAGTGATCTGTCTTTGGCCGAGACAGTCCACCGGCGGAGGTAAGCACTCCTCGCACACGCTGGTACATCTGTCAGATGACAGAACCACGGTGGACAGCAGACAGAGCACGAAGGCGAAACTGTAAAGTGGCGGGCCCATCGACGAACTTTCAGCGGAGTGCATCTTTGGCGCTCTCAAGTTGGACTACGTGAATAGCGCAATGGGGAGGCCTTTGTGGTAGCATACTGGGAAGGCAGTCGGGTAGGCTACGCTGCCCTATGTCGATTTCCACTTTTCTGCAACGCGCATAACACAGTGAAACCGAACACCCTTCTCTACATCATGTTTACATTCACACACGTGACAAGACTCTATTAAGAGGCGACTGCTGAATACAACAATGCCGTGACCCTAGACCGATATATTGACTTGACTTTGCAAGTACATGTATGTTCATTGTTACAATAGTCGCTCTTATTTATAAATCGAGAAACATCTCTTACCCAAAAACTATATTAATAAGATTATTATAATAATGTATTTGCTCTATTAGTAGTGAATGTGCTTACGCAAATTAAAATTTAGTATTTCTGTGGTCAAGATAAATATTTTAAAGGGCGGTGGTCGTCGTGCTGCGCATGTGCGATATTTGTGTTGATAAACATTGATTTTCCCACAATCCAATGCGCTTTTCGAATGATGTTTGACCTGGGCGTAACTTGTACTAATTACCACCGGTAACTCCTTCCATACCTTCTAATCATCTAAGAAAAATACCTAATTAAATCTTGACGTCTCAGTTTGTAAATAGCCATCTTTGTTTACTTTAAAATACTTTATTTTCGCTTGGAAATAATTTTCACTGATGGAATGATTCAGTGAAAATAAAATCCAGCAAATATATTCTTTTCCTAAATTTTACATTCAACTCGTCAAAGATCAGTGAAAACAAAATCCCCACAAAACACCCAAAAACTTTTTCCAGCTAAAATAAAGTATTTCACAGTATATAAGACCCATATATCACACGCATGCATGGCGTGACGACTACCACCCTTTTAATGTTTCAGAATACATACAGCAAATGTGATTTTTTGTTTATATGCACTTCTATTGGAGAATTTTCATTCCATCTCATAAGGTGCAAACACCTAAATTCTATATGACTTCGATCATGTGACCAATATGACTGTCTCGTGGATTACTTCAGTCACGTGACCTACGTGACAGTCACATAGATTATTACCTCAGCCACATGACCTATGTGACAGTCACATAAATTACTACCTAGGTCAGGTGACCTATGTGACAGCCACATATGTGATTGTCACATGACCTATGTGGCAGCCACATGCATTATACTGAGGCCAGGTGACCTATGTGACAGCCACATAGATTATTACCTCAGCCACATGACCTATGTGGCAGTCACATAAATTATTACCCCAGCCACATGACCTATGTGGCAGTCACATAGATTATTACCTCAGCCACATGACCTATGTGACAGTCACATAAATTACTACCTAGGTCAGGTGACCTATGTGACAGCCACATATGTGATTGTCACATGACCTATGTGGCCATCACATGCATTATACTGAGGTCAGGTGACCTATGTGACAGCCACATAGATTATTACACTCGTCATGACGTATGTGACAGTCACATAAATTATTACCTCAGCCACATGACCTATGTGGCAGTCACATAGATTATTACCTCAGCCACATGACCTATGTGACAGTCACATAAATTACTACCTAGGTCAGGTGACCTATGTGACAGCCACATATGTGATTGTCACATGACCTATGTGGCCGTCACATGCATTATACTGAGGTCAGGTGACCTATGTGACAGCCACATAGATTATTACCCTGGCGACAGATTCATGTGACAGCCACATAGATCATTACACTCGTCATGACGTGTGACAGTCACATAAATTATTACCCCAGCCACATGACCTATGTGGCAGTCACATAGATTATTACCTCAGCCACATGACCTATGTGACAGTCACATAAATTACTACCTAGGTCAGGTGACCTATGTGACAGCCACATATGTGATTGTCACATGACCTATGTGGCCATCACATGCATTATACTGAGGTCAGGTGACCTATGTGACAGCCACATAGATTATTACACTCGTCATGACGTATGTGACAGTCACATAAATTATTACCTCAGCCACATGACCTATGTGGCAGTCACATAGATTATTACCTCAGCCACATGATCTATGTGACAGTCACATAAATTACTACCTAGGTCAGGTGACCTATGTGACAGCCACATATGTGATTGTCACATGACCTATGTGGCCGTCACATGCATTATACTGAGGTCAGGTGACCTATGTGACAGCCACATAGATTATTACCCTGGCGACAGATTCATGTGACAGCCACATAGATCATTACACTCGTCATGACGTGTGACAGCCACATAAATTATTACCTCAGCCACATGACCTATGTGGCAGTCACATAGATTATTATTGTGGCAACACGACTTATAAGGTAGTCATAGAGATTATTACCTAGGTGGCAGTCACAAATATTATTACCGTGGCAACACGACTTACAAGGTAGTCATAGAGATTATTACCTGATCACGCACCTAAGTGACTGTCAAATGGATTACTACTTTGTTCACATGAATTATGGGACAGTTACATGAATTATTACCTCGGTGACAGATCTATGTAGGTCCACACTTCCTTCAGTGTTTTTGTTGTATAAAGGATTTCAATGAAGTAATCATCACGACTTGATAGCTTTGTGTTTTCATTAAAGAATTAAACACACTCCATGCATTTCCGAGATTTGTAATAAATACTGAGAACCAGTCTCAACAAATACCGGGCAGAAGAAGTATTTAATCTGATTGGATGCCCTCTAAGCTAAATACACTGTCATCAACTCCAACATTTACTCTGGAATGCAGTGGGCAAAGCAATTAAGCACAGTTCACTGAACTTTGACCTCTCAATAATCGTTTTGCAAGCCCAATTTACTGTGATTATTTCCATGATATGTGGACATAGATTAAACGGATGCAATTTGCTGGCAGATAACTTGTTCTACGAGAAATGAGAGATACCGGTACCTGTTCTCCCACTTTTTGTGACCCAGTTGTTCATTTTGCAATGAACATTTCCAACCAAAATGAATAGAAACATTTCCACAGAATTGGTATAAGCATTCAATTGAGTTACTGTCAATAATACTTCTTGAAACTGACACTGCAGTGTAGTACAATATGGGAAAATACATTTAAAATTATTTCACTTCAACAATAATGTTTAAAGAAAACACAGCATTTTATTTTATTTACAAATATTAATAAAATATTTTGAATTATTATATTTGTAAGACTATTTATTTGAAAGCAAAATATAAATTAATCTGATTAAAATTCGATGTACGTACAGGCTTTTTAATTTTTTAAAATTTCTTTATCGATATATTTTTGGTTATAACTACATCCAACTCAATGGCTTCATAAATCCTTTGCAACAAGACTACGGTAGTTTTTCGACAAGTTTTAATCCAACCAATTAGAAAGTTCCTCACAATAAAAGTTGTCCGAATAGCACATACACCATTTTCAAGATAGCAAATTGTGGTGACCATGATATATAAAGAAAACTTATTAATGGCAAGTAAAAACCCCCCAAAAAGTCATAAATAAATAATCATAACAATAAATTAAATATGGAAAACAAATTGGAGTCTATACTGACTGATTTTAATCATATTTGGTATAAATATAAAAAATACAATAATCCACTAAATTAGAAATGAAAATATTCACTCTATTTACTATTAAACAACAGGGATGGTAGACATCTAAGAAGTCGGGTTACTATAACAAAAGTAGTGATATTAAAGCTAATCCCATATGTTTACATATCAGTTAGCCTTTTCACCACCAGTTTCCTCTTTTCATCACAAAATAGTCCCACTTATAGTCTGCAATTTCCTCCAAAAGATTCTGACAAAAATAGCCAAGTAAACACTGAAAATTTACTTAAATTTTGTCAGTTGGTTCCAAAATTAGGGTTCATTTCAAGAAATATTAATGAATATAAGAAAAAAGTGCAAACAATCTGCTCGTGAAAAGGTTAAAGTAAACTATACTCAGGCCAGGCAGACGAGTGTCTGTTGATTGGGTTGTTTGTGCGAGAGGAATCAAATTCAAGATTTTAATTTACTGTCATTAAAATGCAATATACCGGTAATTAAAATAATAAATTAATTTATCGTACGGTATCACATATTTATGAAAAAGAAAAATCAATAACTTAAATCTATCGTGTGAATCTGAGTCTATAATTTCAAAAGTGTAATTTGCTGACTGTCTTAGTAGCAACTCGCAGTATGCCATAAATCATGAAGAATTTTTCTGTTTATAATCAATAAACTTTGACCTCCAGTTTGTGTACAGGATGCACAGCTTATAGTTCAGTCACCGACAGTGTGTGTGTGTGAGTGTGCCAACAATGCTTTTAATCCATATACTGTAATTTACACCCCAATGGAATAATAGTCGTAAAAGTAATCGTAAATTACATAACTATGCTAGATTGTCCTTTAATAGACAAACAAATTAGCAACATTACAAATCCTTTCCTTCGAAAGAAAAAGAAGACTTTAATACCAATATTATTCGACAAGGATTTATCTAGGTCAGCCTTTACATTTTTGTAAAATATTCTTTGTGCCATTTAAAATGAATAAAAAATGCTCATAACTTGACGTATCAAAAGTAAAATGTATAACAGATGTCATTTAATTTAAAAAGCATCCGTACTGTTAATACATTTCCTACAGTCTAAGCATGGTTACTAGAAGAAACCGTGACAAACGATCGGTATTTTCATTTTTTTCGAGAACAACGAAACCCCGAGTATCACACAACATTCGCACGGAAGTCAGTGATGCTTATACGTTGACCTTTCTGCTTAATGAGCTATATATCTTCAATATAGTGGACTAGCATAGAAAACGAACGGCGCTTGCAATATAAGCGATGACATCATAGTGGTTGAACATGCATCAGAGTGAAGTCAATGGTAATTAGCATACATGTACCTAATAATAGAGTTTCCTAACTGTTCTTCTTGTAACCATGGTCAAAGCATGAAAGGCATGTACAGTAACAATATCTCAAAAATCAACAGGAACAGTCTCTTTGGTGGCAAAATACCACCCTCAATGTCAGCAATGAATTTTCATTTGTTTTTAATGGTTGTCAGCTATTACGTTTGTTTTGAAAGACGTTTCCGTTGTTCGTCCTGTACTTGTTTGGAATCCTCCCATGGCCTGGGTCCTCTAATATTTACCCACTTATCAAGGTCCTTCTCTTGTATTTTCTGTCAGAATGAATAAAAACGTGCAATTTATTATCTAGAGTCAAATAGTTTAATTTGTTCAATGTAAACCGAAAATACAAATATACGACAGGCAGTATTATCATTACTGAGCTCTGGTATAAATGCGAAAAAGCCATTTTAACAAACTGCTTAACAACATCAGCAATTTCCCCCTAAAAATATTGGTGCTTAATGATTATTGTGGGTAGAATTTTTTTGATAATTATATGAAACAAACCTCTAATTCTTCATCAAGTGTAATTTTCTTCTTTCCTTTTTTCATAGTCGCCTCTAACTCTGGGTCAATCTGAATACACGAATAATTCAACCGTAATTATGTTTGACAAAATACTGAATGACGGTTTAACTGATAAAATAAATGTACTTTGGGTGTTAACGTAGAATACCATAGAAGTACAAATATGATCTTAGTGATAAAAGTACCGATACATACCAAATAATTTTCAATGCATAAAGATGACAGAGGACATGATTACAATATCAACTACTGGTATTTATGAATAAAATAACATTATAAAACTAACTTGCGTTTAAATGCAAATTGAGGCTGAAACATTTTCTGTACTTTACAATAATGTTGTAACTTTGTTTGTTTGATGAATAATACATCCTGGATATTACAAATTAGTAAAGTAAGGTTAGACTCGGGAAAAGTATGATAAATATTATTATATTATTTTTATTTCTATACTATACTATACTCTACACCTGACTCCTAAAGACTAATGTCAAGACATGTACTTCCTTATTTATCCAAACATAATTACTATGCTTTTATTTGCTTGTGTACGAAAAAAATGCAAACTCGTTGAAAAACTGTATTCCATTGTTTTGCTAAATTGGATGTTTTGACAATCTGAGTGTACATTTTTGGAAATTGTTAGACTTGTTGTGAAATTTATTCATCAAGAAACTACTTGGTATGTACAATCATATTTTTAAACTGACATCCCAAATTTCTATTTGCCCCATACCTAATCTGGGAGATGAGAAAGGCCTGTAAAAGTATGTACGGAATGTTAGAATCTGAATACCGGATATAATGTATCTGCAGTGTAAATCATAAAACACAGATGTTAAATATACTGACCTTTTTTATATATCTGGTTTCATATCGAAGAGATGAAAATTCCTTCAATCCAAATGAACCACCGACAATCAGCAACTATAAGAAAAAAGCAATTTTTAGTTTTAATAAAAACATATTCTCCTTTTCCCCCCTCAATACTAATGAATTCAATTTATCATTTATTTCCAGTAGTTGTAAACACATAGATATGCATCAGTGAGTGAAAATACATCTGGGCCTTCAGAATGAGCGACTTAAACTTACTGTGGGTAGACCCATAATTGATTGGAATGGCCTAATCAACCTTGACCTATGTCATTTCCATATTCCATTATTTGAACCCCTCAGCACAGATAGTGGTCGGCTTGTTTGTATTTACTGGTACATGTGTGCCCTGTAAACATTTATCATATTACCAGGGTTAGAATTTAGATTTTGTTACCGTTACCTTAATACAATTTTGGTGGTCCATAGTAAAATATTGGTGGACTCAATCACTGTCTGAGTCATTATCTGACTTATCATGAAATTGTGGTTCATTTACCAGTAGTTCAATACATGCAATAACTTTCTAACAACTTTTTCCATTGCTTTGTACTTGTTGATTTTTCTGATTAGAAACAGTCTGTGTAGTTGCCGGTTTGTCAGTGCTTCTGGTTTCTTCTTTAGAAAACAAACTTGATCAATGTGTTTGTCATACTTTAAATACCCAACAAATAGTTTCACACAGTAAGTCATGATCAATCAAGCACAAATCAGCTTGGATGTCAAACACTTGATAACAACAATTTATTAACTCATAACAACCTACTGAAGGAGGTTAAAGGTTACAACAAAAATTACAGAAAAAAATTAATCAAATTACAATGGCTAATAGTTTAAAGACAACCAGAAACAGACTAAATTGAAGTTAGTAACGGAAATATATAATAAAGTAAAATGAAACACCAACAAAAAAAATGACTCATGAATATGCAAATAATCTATTTCTAGACTGCCCCTGTAATACGGTTACATCATAGACCCTCTGTTGGTTACATAAAATATGCTTCAGGGGGAAACACAAAACAGCTGTAGCCAAACAATTATCAAGCTGCGCTCGTAAATACTTTGCATATGTATATGTATCTGGGTTTTATGTCCCATATGTCTGATGCATATGGTAATACGTTTTACAAACAATGGAGAAGAGCATTGCTCAGTTATGTAAAGCTTAATTAAAAGGGAACCATGGATTGCACCAAGTGCTCATGGGTAATTAACTCTGCCTCTGTCCACTACTGTAAAGGGGGTAATTATTCACTGGGTTTTAATTTAGCTTATTTCGCTGACTGGAAAAATGCGCTAAATTAAAACACAGTGAATATGTAAAATTTAGCATAGAACACATTATCTAAATGACGAAACTGTGAATTTAAAACCCAGTGAAAATTAGTCATTTTACAGTATTAAGTAACTGAATGCTTATCTTTCTTCCCCCCTCCCCCGTCCCGTTAATGCCACAAAACAACAACTGACATAAACGTCCTTTGAACGGATTACAATTTGCTTGTTTAAATATCAAACCAAGTACACGTTAGTCTGTTCGGCCATTTGCGTCAAACACAGATCTAACTCCATAAATCATGATTTGAAACATTGTACGCTCCGTAATATATACATCATCATGATAAAATACGTGGAACTATACTAATTCAAATTGATGATGGCCCACTAGTAAATGAAAAGGATTACTGTATATTATAAGTTGAGGTTACTACACGGTAATTCTCGTTATATACATGTAATAACAAAATCATGAGTAATAAAAAGATGCTGTGACATCACAGGCTTATCATGTAACCTGTTTATAACATTTACCTGGGAAATCAAAATATACAGCCTTGTCTTCCGTGAATCCTAGCATGTTATGTGGTCTAGCGGGTGAACATGGGGTTGACTATACAGTCAAAATCAATTGAGCGGCGAGAAAGATAAGAGCGTTCTGTCAAAAATTTTTTACTCAATTTTAACGTCCCATCTACAGTGTTGTAATTATTACAAAATCAACGTTTCAATATTTGGCGCCATGGAAAAAAAATCAAACAGATCTTATTTTCTTTCGGGCTCTCATTGCACATTTTATTACATATTATATTAAAAGAAACGATATGTATGTATAACTTACATCGTCATGTGCCAATATTACCGATTGTTAGACAAACTGCGTAACGATAATGCTGTTTGTAAACCAACAAGCTTTGTTGATTGAAAAAACATCTAGGGGATTTACATTTTTGTTTACTCAAACTGTGATTGACAGGTATTTTGCATACATTAGCCACCATTTGAAATTCGTGATTTTTACTTGTCGGGGCACGTTTCTACCGAAAACAACAACATTTATATATCAAAAGCCCAATCAGCTGAGCGTAATCGATAGCGTACATATACATGCCCCCGTAGAAATGTATTTGGAATCACAGCTTGATCTCTAATTATCGTAAATGGCAAATTTCCCGGAGCTCCCACCACGATGTGAGCGACTTGGTTTGGACATGGAGGTAATTGTTTGGATTAGTATGTGGCCATCTTGCCCCTATTTATAGCATCAGTTCCCCTTTAAGTAGGTTTGACAAAAATTCAGTGGTCAATGGTCATTTGATGCACGAGCACCACTAATTTGAAACCCTGCATATGATCTATTTTCATATCACTTGATTGGGAGAGGCAAATCGTTTTCAACATTTCTTCTTTTTTGAATATTAATAGAAAGGGTCATGGTGACGGGATGGCAGCCATTTCGTATTTAGTATTTTGTATGAGACTTTGACAGATTGCGAGGAGTTTGGGGAAAAATACAAAATGTCTGCGGATTGTGTTTTTTAATGAGAAACGGTCAAAATCTATTAAAAAAACGGAAACATAACTAGACCAAGACGCAGTCGATTTATGTATAGTATGTAAACTGGAGGTATTTTGTTTGGCTGAAATCAGAGTATTTATTTTGTTTTCTGGCCATTTTCACAGGCCAGTGTTCACCCTCTCCACTTTTACCATTTTGCTCGTAGGGCTGCACCGCTGCGTAAGGGTCCGGCTGTATACCGACGATGTGTATAGACGAAGAAAATACCTCCCCGGACCCAAAACGCCGCGAAACCACGGCTATGATTCCCGATGCATTGCAAATGTAGATCTCGTGGGGCCGAATGATCAGCGGAACTTGAAGCCAACCTACAGGACTGCACTCAAGGCTAGTTTTAGGTGAGTTGGTAGCTGTGGAATCATAGCCCTATGTTGCCGACCGCATTATTTACGTGACAGATTCTGGCCGGCCCATATGTTCGACATACAACAACAACAAAAATAAAAACAAGACGTCCGAATGAAATTGTTAGGGCAAAATTCGATTATATGTCGCAACAAAGAGCTACGGAACCGCAGCTAGTGAGTTGGTAGACTGTCGACAGTCGTTGGTTTTGATGACCTAATATCCGTGCACTGTGCCTCACTATGTCAGGGTCCCCACGTTCTGTGCGTCAGACTGCGTGGTTGGCTGCAGAAAAATAACATGAAATTCATCACTTACCAACATAGGAAGTCCATGTCGGAGAAATTTATTCTTGGTGATAGCTTCTGCGTATTTTCGTATCGTGCTAGCTATGGGCGCAGCCATTTTGGATTCCGTTGTTGTGAGCATGCTCAGTTCAATCAATTACTAGTAAAATGGCTGCGCACGTAAGGCTGCTCGCTCGCGTGCCGACTACATTGTCAAAAGGTAACGTGTTTCTATTTGTAAATAATTCTTTTTAATCTGCCTAGCGATCTAGACACGAGGTTTTACATTATTTATTTTTACCGGTGTTTGGTGTTAAAACAGCTGTATTTGGTACACAAATTGATTCATAATTCTAATGAGGGCGCTCTAATATTTGCTTCAAATATACCAGTAATACCTGTGTTGGGATCACAGTCAGCTGGCGCACACGTGATAATAAAATAAATACGATATTTACTTTATGGGGGCCGCCATCTTGAATGCAGCATAAAACTAAATAAGAGACAAGTTGTGAAACGCGTTTTTCAGATTCCTACAAATCAGGACAAAAATACCAATCTTTTACAGAAATACGATACATTGGGATAATATTAAGTCAACCGATAACAAAATTCGGCCGAATTCGGCGTTTTTGTTTAGAAAAAATCCCTTGCATATGAACACCTAATTACACAAAGAACATAGAACACTTTCCTGGGGTATTTGAAACGGAAATTGTCATCTGACTGTAATACCGTCGCTGATTGGTTGCTGAGCTGGAACACTGTCACGGTGGCTGAAATGACAATTTTTGTCCAAGTCTGATGATAATGATGTTATTGATAATTAATGTTATTGATAATTATCAGAGAAAAACAAAGACTGGGAAGGCTGGGAAGTTTATTGTAGGAAGTCTAACTTAGACGAACTGCTTTTATGGATAAAGCCAAAACAGCAAAACAAGTTTTCCCCCTCCCACATATGCCTGGAACAATCTTTTTAACATAACATACAAAAAGTGTATGTAAATACACATGTATTTCAAATATAGAGAGCTTCTTGTGTACTGTTTCTAGTGATTCTATAGAATCACTGCTTCAGTAAGGTGTTTCCAGCACATAATTTTGTCATCCTCGAGAATGCAGTTAAAAGTTTCAAAGATGCATCATCAAATTACAAATGTTTTGGTTACCGTGGTTACCGTATTCAATCTACACTGAACGCTATCACAGTGATTGCGTATTGGGTTATTTGTCAGTACAGAAGTGATGTGCTGAGGTGACGTTGGGATATATACATTTACTGTCATCCTTGGCATTATACAAAATGCCAGGAGGCACAATGTTGATATTCATTGTCACTATAATTTTTTATTAGTACTGTCTGTTACTACAGCAAGGTCGCCTATCTATAAAACAACTGAAAAAGCCTCAAATTATTATTCATAGCTGCTTACTCACATTCACAGGAATCTTTAATAATAAATATAATTTCTGTAATAGATAGGAGGAGCAATTTGAATTGATGAACATTTCTCTATTTCAACTGTAGTAGCGCAACTAACATTGGCCACTTTCTTATCATCAGGGGCGGAGTTACGTCACATGACGTGACGTTCCACGTTGCTAAGACGTGCACCACTGTATCATGTATTTCTATGGGCTCTGCGCGAGCTGCTGTGAACGCCGGTCGAAGAGCCGGTGAAAACAGCTAAATTAGAGAAAACAACTGAAACTCAACTTTGAAGTGATCCGGAACAACCAAATTCATATATGTTGCAAACGTAGGGGTTATCTTGTTTACACTGTTCAGAGAAGTCTCAACAACCCTCCCAAAGTATCGTTTTCTCAGAGTTTTCGGCCTTTCTTTTCACCGTGATGGTTGCCAGGCAGTGAAAATGCCTGGATGTCTGCCCCGAGAATAAGATACCTCAAGGTATTATTGTGAAGGCAGTGATCATGCATGAGCTGAAACATTTACCTTGAAAAATACGATGATGATACGAGAAACACATCTATTCCTTCATAATGGTATCAAAATTGTTCTCCCAGTATTGACTACATTGTTTTTCATTGCCAAATAGTGATCTGTGTCGCCACTTGGCAAATAATGAGTGGATAACATTATGAGAAATGACAATATTTTACAATATAATGCATCAAAAAGTTATTTAATAAACCATAAGTAGGTGATGACATGTTTTTAAATAACCACCATTCTTGGAAAATTATTCGGTTTGAAATTCCTCAAAAAATTGATATAATTTAGGGTAGTCAAATCTAAAAATAATTTGGTATTTGAAACAGACACAGCCTGATTGTAACAATAAACATTCCTTTCATGTTTCAACCAGGGAAACATTTGTTTCCAAAATCCTAAAACATGAGTTCTTTTTGAGGACACAACACAATTATAGTTGGTGTCATACTCTTACAGATAACAATCCAGATATTTTGTTTTGATTTGATTTGATTATTTTAATTTTTTTTATTGCAGACATCGGTATAGTTGCCCGACTTTCTCAACTTCACCTCACACATAGATATGTATCTGAGCCAAGCAGTACAGTATATGGTGTGGTTACACCAATGTTTGTACAATGTAGACATTCAAGTTTTTTTAATACATGTAAGTTACAATTCTCACTTTCTAGGTTTTTGTTTATTTGAAATGTGATTAAATTAAAAAAAAAAAACAGTTTTACTTCTTGTGTTAGCATCAAGAATCACTACCGATTGCCTTAAATTTAAACCCCTTTATTTAGCAGTGAGAATTACAAAATTTGTTGTTAAGATCATTGTTTTGAGTTTCCGGTTCTCTTTAACCCTAAAGACAAATTTTGTTAGCATTTATTAAATGTTTTATTATAAAAATATAGAAATTTTTCATATTTTTCCCAAAAATTTGATAAAGACCTTGTAATCAATAGAAAAATTATGTTTATTCAGATAAATAAAAAGTAACAAAAAAATGTGTTCAAAGTGTTACGCAAAATTGTTGATTTCTTTTCAGCCGAATGCCACATTTCTTCTGCCACAATTTGTATATGTTTTACTATTATTTGTTAATGGTCTTAATTTGATTACAGATTATGATAAAAAATATAAAAAAAAAAAATGGTGGTTATTTTGTGACTTTGTTGACTTGGCACTCAAAGGATCAAAGTGTTGACACAAAAGTTGCTTAGATTATGTCATTTCACTTTCTGTCGTTAATCTTTCTCTCATGCAGTGACAGGTGACCAACTTTGGAAAAGTGTGATGGCGGACTCGGGTAAAGCTAGTAAAAAAGGCAGAGGTAAAAGAGGAAAGAAAGGAGCTAGAAAAAATTTGAACCGAGGACAATATCTCGGTGATGGTAAATATGTTAAACATCAAATTTTCTTATTTATGGGTTTTTGTACAGTACAGTGTTAAGGTCTTTGAAACAATTAACAAGCTCTAACTGTCTCATGCATTCATTGTGTTTTCCTCACGATATAACAATGCTCTTCTATGTTGCTTGACCTTTTAAGTAGCTAATTTGCATATTGAGCGGATTCTCAACAAATATAATACTGTGGAATACTTTATTTTCGCTTGGAATTTATTTTCGCTATTTTCGCTGGAGGGATGATTCCGTGAAAATAAAATCCAGTAAATATACTTTTTTTCCTATATTTCACATTAAACTCATCAAAAATCAGTAAAAATAAATTCCATACAAAACGCCCAAAAAGCCTTTTCAGCGAAAATTAATTCCAGCGAAAATAAAGTATTCCACAGTACATACCCCCGGTAGGTACCTTTGAGTAATATGCAAACATGATTAGTTTTGGGCCGTGTCTGTGCATATTAATAAGGACGTAATTTGCGCAAAAACAGGAATTTAACTTTCTTTTGTGCAACTCATTGGCTGGTTCCTGGACTTCACTTCAGGCTGTTTGAAAAGTGTCAGCCATTTTGGTTTTGATAGGCTAACAAGGTGCCATAAATGTGTGGAAATACATCAAAAATTGTTGTCTATGGAATTGATTGATAGTTTTAGAAAAATGATTGTGTTTTATTATATTTTGAGCTATTTAATGGTTGATTTGCATTCAATCAACACTCTGCATTCTGAAAGACACTTCCCTTTTATCTGTGCTCCTAATTGGACCTGGCCACTGACAATCTGCGCATCTAAACGGCACTCTGATCGACGTTTCAAGTAAAATTTTTGTGCGGATTTGCACTTCAATAATTGGCATATCTCTATGTATTGTAGCTGACCCTGGTCCCTTTCAGCCCCAGCTAATACAGGATGTTATGACCCTGGTTTTAGACTGGTTTTAGATCCTGGTATATAGATAATACTTAAGGTGTTCATACAAAGTACATGTGAAATGTACAATGTAGTCTTAAAACAAGGACTTAAAGATTGACCTTTGTGTGTTCAGTTCAGTTCAGCCAGACTTGTAGCTTCAACATTTCTTGACTGATCACCTTCAGACTTCAAATACACAGCATATATCGTATTATACATATGCACATCCGTTCATTTCATGGTCTGATGATGGCCGAACAGCCGCCATTTTAATGTTAAAAATGAATCAAAATCCAAACCCAGATCTTGATCATGTATAGTTTGATTTTATTCAAACATGCTACAAACATTGAACATTATGGCACATTGATGATAGTCATTTGATTTTCAGATCCGATTCAAAATGGCCGTCTAGGGATCATTTTGTTTTAATGAGTCTGGTTCTGGTGATGTATCGCAGACATGCCTTGACCGATTATGTTCAAAGCCTATATATACATTATACATATGTAGGTATATTTGTTTGACCATCAGATTCAAGATTGCGATCAAGCATTTCCTTGGAATCTACGTCTTTAAACGAATTGGAGTGTTTTTTCTGTGTATTTTCAGAAATAACACTTTATTAATCGTATTGAGTTTCCTACTGAGCCTTCAGTCAGCTCACATTCATGACATACAAATATTATTTTTCAGTCAATTTATTTTTACTGTATTGTAACCTCGTTGGTTATGTTTCTCAAGATTGAGTTAGTTTGTTTACTGCTTACTCCATTGTTCTGCCTTCAGTTAGTTCCCCACAAAGTATATATAAGGTGGATTAAATCTAGTCCGAAATAATTGAACATCAATTGTACTTCTGTATTAATTATATTCAAAGTAATTTAGATATTTTAGTACAAAAACAAAATCCTTGCCTCAGAAAAAAAATGCTGCATTTAGACATGAATAAAATCATAAAAACATGCAATATAAGAGAAGAAAAGTAATTTCAATCCAAATTAGATGAAGCAAACAATGAAAAAAATGAAAAGAAAATTTATATTCATCAGGAAAATTATTTAGATATAGACTTAGTTGCATTTTCTAATTGTACAGACCAGATTAGTCATGACATTATATATTTAGCTCCACTGTCGACTTTGTCGAGCGGAGCTTATCATATGAGTGATTGTCCGTCGTCGTCCGTGTCAATGTTTTACTTTTTCGACTTCTTCTTGAAAACTACAAGCCTGAATGCTTTGATACTTGGTGTATATGTACCTTGGGTAGACCTCTCTCAGATTTGTTCATTTCATAATGTTATCTTCAATTCTCTAATTTTGGTGAATGTTTTTGTCATTTTTGGTAAAAAGTGATATTTTCGACTTCTTGTTAAAAACCGTAAGTCCAATTACTTTGATATTACATATGTAGATACTAAATGTGACCCTCTCTCAGATTTGTTCATTTTGTAATGATATCTTTAATTCTCTAATTTTGGTGAATATTTAGTCATTTTTGGTAAAAAGTGATATTTTCAACTTCTTGTTGAAAACCGCAAGTCCAATTGCTTTGATATTACATATATAGGTACTAAATGTGGACCTCTCTCAGATTTGTTCATTTTGTAATGATATCTTTAATTCTCTGATGTTGGTGAATATTTTTGTCATTTTTGGTAAAAAGTGATATTTTCGACTTCTTGTTGAAAACCGCAAGTCCAATTACTTTGATATTACATATATAGGTACTACATGTGGACCTCTCTCAGATTTGTTCATTTCGTGATGATATCTTAAATTTTCTAATTTTGGTGAATATTTCTGTCATTTTTGGTAAAAACTGATATTTTCGACTTCTTGTTAAAAAACGCAAGTCCAATTGCTTTGATATTATATATATAGGTACTACATGTGGACCACTTACAGATTTGTTCATTTCATGATGGTATCTTCAATTCTCTAATTTTGCTTAATATTTTTGTCATTTTTGGTAAAAAGTGATACTTTCGACTTCTTGTTGAAAACCGCAAGTCCGATTGTTTTTATATTACATATATAGGTACTACATGTAGACCTCTTTCAGATTTGTTAATTTTGTGGTGATATCTTCAATTATCTAATTTTTATGATTATTTTTGTCATTTTTGGTGAAAAGTGATATTCTTGAATTCTTGTTGAAAACAGGAAGTCCCATTGCTTTGATACTATACATATTGTTCATTTTCTAATGATATCTTCTGTTCTTTTATTGAAATATGCATTGCTAACAGCGGAGCTATCTCAGCTGACTGGCTGCTTGTTTATAAATTGCTTTGAAATCTCAGTATGTAGCCGCGAAAGATACTCCCTCACAAAGAGATATGCTAATTTTATGTCCCCCAAAATGTGTGGTCAATTTTCCCCCCTCACAGACAAATATTCTGCCTCAATATGACAAATGATCCCCTCTCAAACAAATATTTTGCCCCCTCTATGTGATATGAATTGTACCCCC